GTAGGGAAAATATAAAATATAGGCTTGATTGGGCACTATAGTACATCTTAAGGTAAAACACCAGAATAAATTAAGAGAATAAGACAGGAAACAAGAAAAAGAAATGATTTTGTGAGAAGAACCATTTGTCTTAAAGGCAGAGTAAGTGATTTCTGGTAGCCAATGTTGATATTTTAAATCACCAAAACAAACACGCCCCTACCCCAAAAGGGTCTTGCCCCTATTTTGATAGCTCCGCCCCACATATACATACGCAACCCAGGCAACGATTAGTTCTGTGAAACAAAGCAAAACCAATGTTACACCGTGTCTACGGACGTGAACGGCGCGGCGCAACAAATCCCCGACAGAAAACTGCTGCCGGGTTCTATTTATGACGTGCTGACACAAATTTCAAATGGTTTTCAACGGTCGTTTGATCGCGTCCAGTGTAGGCAGACTTTAGCTGTTGTAGACACGGTGTTACTCACCTATTGAGAAGAAACAAAGCAACCTCGGCGTCCGATCGCAGACCTCCGCTCCTTGAGTTCTCTCCAGCGCTGGAAAGCTGATCCGATATTTATCCGCCATCTCTATCTTTCTGTCGCTCAGCTCGGCTAATGTCCGTCCCATGCACTGAACGCGCTCTCCTCCACATCACGAGTAGACACGCCCCTTATTGCTGATTGGCTACAAGTTTGTTTTGCGATTCGGCCCGAATCAGTTTTCTAAAGTGTTTTTGAAAAATCACTTACTCTGCCTTTAATCCTAGAAAACCAAAATAGACTTTAGACCTGTGATTAAACTGAAATAGGGAATAATGTAAATCATTCTGGTCACTCAGCTTTTCTATCTGACTTCAGCTCTGTGGTCTCCAAGGAAACCTGTGAATCAGACCCAACAGCTAGGTATTTATAGCTCACAAGCACCTTTGTGTGTGAAGAATAGATGCCAGTCACTGTGCTTTAAAGTAAAGGTGTTAACAGTAAGAAGGTAACAGGGCGATACTGATTTGCTTCGAAGTTCTTTTTTTGATAATGTAAAGTACACTACCATTCAAAAGTTTGGAATCATTTTTAAAAGGAATTTATACATTTAAATGAATAACATTTTTAATTCAAATAAATGCTATTATTATTATTTTTTTTTACTTTCTATTCATCAAAGAATCATGGTCATGGTTTCCACAAAAATATTAAGCAGGAAAACGGTTTTGAACATTGATAATAAGAAATGTTTCTTGACCAGCAAATCAGCATATTAGAATGATTCCTGAAGGATCCTGTGACACTAAAGAGTAATGATGCTGAAAATTCAGGTTTGCATCACAGGAATAAATTACATTTTACTTCTACAAATGAAAACTATATATTAAACCATTTATTTACAGTGCATCCGGAAAGTGTTCACAGCGCTTCACTTTTTCCACATTTTGTTATGTTACAGCCTTATTCCAAATTGGATTAAATTAATTATTTTCCTCAATTCTACAAACAATACCACATAATAACAACATGAAAAAAGTGTTTGAAAGCTCTGCAAATTAAAAAAAATAAAAAAAAATAATAATATATATATATATACACTCAAGATATTTAGAGAGTCTGCATTTATACTCAAACTTTACAACAGTCTCCATCAGCTTCAGTTATGCTTCTAGTTCTATATATACTTTTTATTCAATACTTTGTTGAAGCACCTTTGTCACCAATTACAGCCTCAAATCTTTTTGCTACAAAATGAGTATGATGCTACAAGCTTGGCACACCTATTTTTAGGCTGTTTCTCCCATTCTTCTTTGCAGGACCTCTCAAGCTCCATCAGGTTGGATGGGGAGCATCGGTGCACAGTCATTTTCAGATCTCTCCAATGAAGTTTGAAGTTCAATCGGGTTAAAGTCTGGGCTCTGGCTGGGCCACTCAAGGACATTCACAGTTGTCCCATAGCCACTCCTTTGTTATCTTGGCTGTGTGCTTAGGCTCGTTGTCCTGTTGGAAGACGAACCTTCGCCCCAGTCTGAGGTAGGTTTTGGAGCAGGTTTTCATCAAGGATGTCTCTGTACATTGCTAGAGTCCTTTAGGTGCCTTTTGGCAAACTCCAGGCGGGCTGTCATGTGCCTTTTACTGAGGAGTGGCTTGCATCAGGCCACTCTATCACACAGGCCTGATTGGTGGAGTGCTGCAGTGCTGCAGAGATGGTTGTTCTTCTGGAAGGTTCTCCTCTCTCCACAGAGAAACGCTGGAGCTCTGTCAGAGTGACCATCGGGTTCTTGGTCACCTCCCTGACTAAAGCCATCCTCCCCCGATCGCTCAGTTTGGCCGGGCGGCCCGCTCTAGGAAGAGTCCTGTGGTTCCAAACTTCTTCCATTTACGGATGATGGAGGCCACTGTGCTCACTGGGACCTTCAATACTGCAGAAATTTTTCTGTACCCTTCCCTAGATCTGTGCCTCGATACAATCCTGTCTCTGAGGTCTACAGACAATTCCTTGGACTTCATGGCTTGGTTTGTGCTCTGACATGCACTGTTAACTGTGGGACATTTAGACAGGTCTGTGCCTTTCCAAATCATGTCCAATCAACTGAATTTACCACAGGTGGACTCCAATCAAGTTGTAGAAACATCTCAAGGATGATCAGTGGAAACAGGATGCACCTGAGCTCAATTTTGAGTGTCA